AGTCGTTAGTGTCAGAGACTAACGGGGTTCAGTTACGTTTTGGGCTTTTAGCTTCCGAAGCCTGACGGAGCTCAACAAGCCTCATAGCTTGACAGTAGCGCAGCTCTGGTGTCAGAGATCTGGTTCAGCTGTTCAGGTTCAAAGTTGTTGCTTTTAGAAAAATATGACCGTGTTATGTCTCCGTGTTATTTCGTTTTATTACCTTTGCATGTTTCTTGTGAAGAGCTCAGATAGGTGTTTACAGCAGTATGTACAGGCGGATCAGTTGCTCGGCTGTCTGGCTCTGGTCTGCTGGTCGTTCCCATAAACTCTTTCAGGCTGAATATAGAAGTGATTCCATGGAAATAACTCAGGGAGGCTCCTTTAGTTATCATCCGTATCCGTGGTATCTTTAGGCTGATCCGGAGTGAAGTGAAGGCTGCAAACTTTATGTTGTGCAGCGTTAGCTTTAACTGGTAGTGGTAAATATTTACAAGCCACTGACTTCTTAATTCAGGATTGCTTGGAAATGAATGAAAACTTAAAAGCCCATTACATTAGGAAGACACCAATGTTCATAGTATTTCTCTTTTTTTGCGTCTGAAATACGACTGTCTTTTCTAGCTCTCATGGTAACTCAAAGCGGAAACAAGTGAGTCGCATTGTCTCATGCAGATGTGACGTCAACACCATACAGTGCAAAGAGCCCATTACATGACACCAAGTAAAGCTGAGGAAGAAGTGTAGCAGAAGTTAGAAATACTGCCACCTGCTGGTGGGAGTTCGTATCACATAAAACAAAATGTTTCTGACCATGTTGATGGAAAATTTGCAGTAAACTCACAATTTAAGCATTATCATAAAAAAGTGTTGATGTTCCATGATCGTGGAATAGCAAAATGCTTTGATTTGATTGATACAATAATATTTAAGCACACATGTTTTGTTAAAGGTTTTATTTATGCGTTCCTCTGGAGTCCAAAGGGCCGCATAAATAGCTATGGTGGGCCAAATTTGGCCCCCGAACCTTGAGTTTGACACATATGATGGTAGGAACATTGATTAACTTAAATTTACAAGCAGGTTATTTTTCTACAATGTCAGTTGTTTTTAAAAAGAAAGTAGTTAACACATTTAGCTTTATCTCATCAGATAGTAGTTACACATATTCAGCTCGTACAATCAAGCGTCAGTCAGAGGCTTTTTCAGATATTCTGTGATACTGACCACTACAGGAGATTCTGTCACCATCTATTTCAGGACTAATAAATTAAATTGTCACCAAGATATTTTATTTTTTATGCAAATAATTATTGAGATTTATTTCATTTGAGGATATGCAATGCAAATTCAATAAATAGCTTTATGTGAGTATGGAAAAGGAAAGGACAAGCAGATGGTGCGAGTGGTGCTGACTAAAACGGGCCCTATAAGCATTTCATAGAGTGGAATAGTGCCGGGGCTGCTTTTTTACTTCATGAAGTATTTTCAGGAAGAAGGGTAGTTTTCTTGAGCCATTATTAAACCTCTGATTCAGCGAATCTACCAGGGTAAAAACAGATTACCTGAGTAATGCTTTCAAAATTACCAGGAACTGTAGAGGTGGAGCTTTGAGAGGGAAGGACAAGTAAATATCTCATATTCTCTCCATGATTACAGCTGAAAGTTGTGTCAATTTTTTTATTAATTTTGTCAAACCTACAAGAGTTTAATAAACTAGAGTTTTTAGGTTAGTACTACAAAGAAAATACAGGGATTTCTTTAAAAACTCAAGACAACTTTTACGCCTCACTAGTGTTTGTATCTCATCTAAAACAAACAAAAACCCCTTTCTGTTAATATAAAGCACTAAAAATATCCCAATCTTCAAAATAAACCGACACATTAACTTAGCTGCTCACAATCACAGTTGTACACTGTAAAACATTTGAGCCACATTTAGTTGTCTTCTACCCTTTAAGTCAAATAAATTTAGCAAGTTGTAGATTTTGAACTAAAATGTGTGAATTTGTGAAGGATAAACCTACAGCAGTAACTTGTGTTAACTTTTTATTAATTGTTGAATAAACTAGTTTTTAGGTTAGCAACTGAAAGAAGAAAAAGAGTGGGAACTATTTCCCAGAATGCTTAGCGTCAGAAGTGCGTTACATTGATCTGACTCTTGTGTTTTATTTTAAATAAATATTTATTTAATGCAATTTCAGTTTGCAAATAATCTGGTAATAAACTTCATTATCAGATCAGAAATTGTGTTCATTCAATTTGAAACAAGAATTTAAATCATTTTAAAGTAAAATAAGAAGTTATTTTAACTGGACAATGTGAGTGAAAATAATAGAGAAATGTTTAACTAGATGAGGATAGGTTTTTTCTTGCATATTGTGAAATTATTATTTGGTTTAAGTTGAAACTCACAATTCAAGATTAATGAACTTAAAAACCAATGTTTAGACAATTTGTCTGTTGCTGAATCATCTTCATGAACTTTAATTTGAGTTAAAACCAAAACAATTTTCTTCCTGACTTAAGTTGCATTTTCAAGGCAGCAGGTGGACTTTCATTTTCAAATGTTTTACAGTGTAGTATTAACTCTCAACATCACTGGAAAAATGTCATGAAATTTTAAGTAATCTTGCAGTTCTGTTGTTTGGGTCAGGCAGTTTGTGATATGAAGCTGTAAACATAAGAAAAGCTTCTGGACAAACAGGATGGAGGTTTGTCTCACCTTTAGACAGATATCTAAAAGTGACTTCAGTCTACATCTGTTGTCAGTCTCCTTCATGTGACATCATGCAATCTTCTGCTATGACTAAGCAGGAACACGAGGTTGCTGTCGAGAGACGACTGTGAGAGGCGATGGCTGAACAGTTGCAAAAGTTGAATGTGAAAGCAATTGAAAAGGAAGGGTGGGAAGGTTTAATTCAACATCTGGATGCTATTTATGAGCTTCATATGGATGGTAATTGCTGCTGTGAGAGTAACAGTGGATAACTTCTGTCATGTGAAGCCAGACTTCGCAGTTGTTTTTATTCTCACACTCAGTGTTTTGGTATGAGTGGTCGTCCTGAAGGCGGTTTCTCTTCAGGAGAGTTTTCTGCATCTTCACTTGGGAGACCTGCTGATGAAAACTGCAGAACGGAGGAAACTCTGTCGTCTGCAAGGAGATATAAACAAAAGATAATTGGGTTTATTTATAAATGTTTCTTAGAGTATTTAGGTCTGTTTTCTTTTGTAGTTGTGTCAAAGCACAGTAATTTTACAGTTTTTACCTCTACATCTTTTTACTCAGGATAATTAGCTTCTTTTTTCCACAATGTCTGAGCCAAATGAAAGACAGTGCTGCTGTCTGTATATCATGCATAGCATTAGCTTAAATTGACCTAATTGGGACAAAAGGTTTTGTATAAGACAATTAACTTAATGGTTACTATTTATTCTGGTAAACTATCGAATTCAAGTATTATAGAGGTGGAAATAAGTATGGAAAAAGGAACAATATGTGTTTTCAGATTCCATTTCTTTACTGATTGTCAAAAAAGTCGCATCTGATCATCCATTTTTGTTTTTTGAATTGGTATTGGAGCTTTTAAATCTTTAGATAGGGTGCCACACTGTTGGATCTCTACGTTACTGACTGTCTAGTATATTTCTTGACTTCCCCTGATTCAGAAAACAAGCTGCCTTGATTGAATGATCTCTAGTTTAAAGTAAACACTTATGAATTGATTAAAGGTTTGCTGATCCATACGTACTCCTGTAACTCCTCATCAACCTTTCGCTGCAAGTTTCTTGACTTTGGACTTGGAAGTGAATACTCCTACTATGACCTAAAGCATATTATCAAACAAATCAGCTCTGTGTCACGTGTTACGTAATATGTAATAAATTGGAATGGTACATTTGAATAAAAGCATGTGGAAAAAAAGCCATTAAATCAACTGAAATCTGTTTGTGTTTAAAAAGCTTTCCCACTGTTCAAATGAATATCAGCTGGTTTAATATTAACTGATGGTTTATGAAGAGGGTTTCTTATGTTTTACTGCACATAACCGCAGTAACAGCAAATGGTTACAGCAGCATCTCTGGACTTCCAGTGAGAAAGAAGAAGAAAGAACATGAATACACCATAAAAGAGTTTCACAAACATAGAAATACCAAGCAAAGTCACTGCACAAGACTCCACTGCTGAAAAAAATGGATGTTTAAGCCTGTTTAAAGTTCCCTTCAGAAGATTTGGACAAAGAAGAATAAAGTCAGATGAGAGCAAAACACTCCTTTGATTAGAAAACAAACAAAAAAGCTGTTCCACAAAAGATTTAGTAAATGTGTACATTATTTATTATCCCCCGTGACATTCTACGGAGCCCGGTAAGGGACACAGAGGATTTTTTTTTCTTTTGCGATCTCTCACAATAACGTAGTGATGAGTTCCATAACTGAACACTGAAAGTCTTTCTTAATGTGTCCACTGTACTTTCTGCTAATATCAGGTTTTTGTAAGTTTTTTCCATCTCGTTTGTGAGATATCTGAAGTTTTATGTCTTTTTCTTGAGCATAGAAATGCACCAAACCTATGTGCAAAACACAAAAGCAAAACAGGCCAAACATGGGCTTCCATCTCTTAAGATATAAACAGAAACTTTCTGTGATAAGGAAAGAAGAGAGAACAATGACATCCAAACTATTTGGCTTATTTCTGAGTTATTTTCATGGGATAATGAGGTTATTTCTGACAGCCTTGATTGTCTTTTTGTGTTGGTCGTCTGAATGGAAACTAACGGTCAACCTTACACAAACAGACATGCAGTGAATCAATTGATTTTCAGTCAGTTTTTTGTGCTTCACTGAGGCTTTTTAAATGTGTATATATTTGAAATTTAAGCCCCGTAGGGGCTTCCGTACCAATCCAGTCTTTTACCCATAGCGTTTTTGGGGGGGATCAATTTGTTGTTCACAATCTGTGTGAATTTCATATCAACAAAAAAGTAGATTTACTTACAAAAACTTTAAGGTTTTCAGCTCCTAATTTAGCTTCGAGCACTAATAATGTTCAGCTCTCAACCAACCAATAGTCGCTAATGTTGACTTTGTGTTTTATAATACAAAAAATCAAAGAAAAAAGGAAATGAAAAGAGAAACTTATGAAATCCTTCTCCACGTGTTGCAGTCTAAACTTCTCCAGTCTTCAGGAATTTTCTGCATCTGTTTTATTTCTGTCTCTCCTGGATAACACCTTGCTGTTTCCCTCCTCATCTTAAAACAATACGACGAGAAGCGGGCCTCAGAAAGCGGAGCGCACCGTCCCCTGGACTCCTTTGTTCTCACGTCTTCCTAATGTAAACCCGCTGAATGTTCAAAGACGAGGACAGAGCGCTCTGCCTGGGGATATTCTCCAGGAAAGCCCTTACTTTACTATCAAACAACAGCAGAAGGATGGGTGGGTGTCATCACAACTGTCTCATCAACAGTGGATCAGGCTGGAGCCCTTGGAAGACAAGGAGGAAGACTAGTCTTACTGCGAGAAGCGATTGGGGTTTCATGATTCATCTAGGAGAGTTTTCTGTCTCCATGCACTCAGATCGTTGAGGAAAACAAAGATCAGGGTGCAGATCTTTGTTTTCAAGACTTCTTCTGCAAGAATACTGGTCTTCCTGCAAGAACCGATTAGAGTTTCATGATTCATCTAGGAGAGTTTTCTGTCTCCATGCACTCAGATCGTTGAGGAAAACAAAGATCAGGGCGCAGATCTTTGTTTTCTAGACCTTCTGCAAGAATACTGGTCTTCCTGCAAGAACCGATTAGAGTTTCATGATTCATCTAGGAGTTTTCTGTCTCCTTGCACTCAGATCTTTGTTTTCCTCAAAAATGAGAGTTCAAGGAGACTCTCATAGATCAACCATCTATGAGTTTTCTTTGAGGAAAACAAAGAAATGAGTGCAGATCTTTGTTTTCTAGTCTTCCTGCAAGAAATGACTGGAGTTAAACAGATTCCTGATTCATCTAGGAGAGTTTTCTGTCTCCTTGCACTCAGATCTTTAAGGAAAACATTTTGGTGACTACTCCTTCACTGGCAGGGGAAGCCTAAAGAGAGGAGTTCAGTGCTGCCAACTGGCCAAGCATATGCAGCACAAAAAGTCCCATTAAGTTATTAGATTGGCATGAAAATGAACAAATTTAGTGGTTTTCATGGCATTTGTCAAATAGGCTAGTTTAGGTTTCACCTGGCAAAAGATTCATGTGAAAATCTTTTTCCGAATTTGTCTAAACAAAAGCAAGCTTATTAACATAAAAATATTTCTACTCCCAAGAGTTCCTGACGTTCACAAGAGCATCATTCTCATATTTTACTGACCTAAACACAGTGGAACATCCGCTAAGCATTTTCTTTTACAAGTAAAACACATTTTAAAGCTTATATTCATCTTCCTCTGCAGGGTTTTTCCTCTGGGGCAAACAAAGACGATTCTGGTTGCAGCCGTAGCAAAATTATGAATTTTACGAAGCAACTTGTAAAGGTGAGCTCATCACAGTTTTCCTACTGGTTTTTTCATCCATTTTTTACCCTCTGTTGCTGAATTTGAGCAAATTGTTACTAACAAATATGATGACTACATCATATTTGCCGATACAATTATTCTTGTCATTAATCAATCAACTGGAAGTGGTGTCGATTTATTCTCTTAAATCAGAAAATGGATGTGAAAACAGCTGTAAAAGACGATTACATGCTTCCAAAACATTTTCTTGTAAAAACTTAATTCTTCTCCAGTTTAAAATTCAGTTGGTTTCCAGGCAAAATATAATCAATTTCATGAAATTTGAGGAAAAATATGGCAAAAATGGTAAGACTTTGGATACAGAACCTCTGAAAACCAATGAAGAAGAAATAAATAGAGGAATGGATGATTAAAAATAGATAAGTGGATGGAAATAAAATGTAGATAACATTTTTCTATTGTTTCCCAATGACTTATTTTTCCTGAAAATACTTTTCTGAAATTCCATACTGTAGGGGTGTCCAAACTTTTTGCTAAAAGGGGCAAAATTGTAGACTTAAATGTCCAAAAACCAAACTTAAAATCAAGCAAATAAAGTGGCTCCATATTTATTGTAGATCCAAAACTTAAAAGGGATTTTTTATGACGGTGTATTAGGGCTAGTGTAGATAGAAAAAAAGGAGTAAATTTCCTCCAAAAGCTCAGAAATTTTGTGATTAAGCTCAGAAATTTGTCTAGAAAACAAATTTTTAATGGAAATTTTTTGACATTTGAAATTCAGACATTTTTTTTTCTAACAAATTTCCTTGTTTTTTCTATGAATTGTCTGAGATGGGGGTTTTTTGGGCAAAAATGTACGGGGTGCAGCAACGTTGGATTTTCAGCAAATGTCTCTGGAAAAGCTTGGTTACAAAAACACAAAGAAAATTATATTGATAACAGTTTTTACCTTGATTACAAATTAAAAGTCTCCATCTGCATCTATCATTTTTGAATTGCAGAATCGGTCCAGGGGCCACAAATGGCCCCCGGGCCGCATTTTGGACACCCCTGCCATACTGCGTCAGTCTGTAAAGAAACTCTGTGAATGTACGCCCGTTCCCATTTGCCGGCTTTCTAATAACACGCTGGACTAGTTATTAATTATTTATTCTATTGAGGGCGACGATAAATCACGAGGTGAACTCTTCAAAGTAATTCATTAAAGCAGCATTCTGGGAAATTCATAGGGATTAATGTCTAATCAGCTCAAACATCTGCACATTATAATAAAAATAAACATGACTAAATGAGCTTCAAAATTAGGCTTTCATAAATTTATTTTGGATTCGGCGAGGCATCAAACGCCTCTCATGTATTTGCACAGATACTGGTGTAAACGCCAGCATGAATCATGTAGCTTACCGGCTGCTTAAGGTGATTAATGTGCGCAAAGATGGAAAACAAGACGACCGGTGGAACCGTTTCTGGGCTGGTTATACGGCCAGGTGAATATGACAAATTAAATTTTTACGTCTGAGTCATCTGTTAGGAATGTAATCCCCTGCAGGAGCAGAAACGGGTCAGCGCTGTGTGGGGTTCCTCTGCAAACAGCTTTTCTCACTTTGGTTAAATTTTATCTAAGGTGAACTTTCACTCGCAGTCTCAGCAGAAACCA